CGCAGACGAGCACGCAGACGAGCACACAGACGAGCATACAGACGAGCACACAGACGAGCACACAGATGAGCTCTCAGACGAGCGCATCGACGAGCGCACAGACGAGCACAAAGACGAGCACACAGACGAGCACGTAGACGAGCACGTAGACGAGCACACAGACGAGCACACAGACGAGCATACAGACGAGCACACAGACGAGCACGCACACGAGCAGGCAGACGAGCACGCAGACGAGCACGCAGACAAACACACAGAGGAGCACGCAGACGAGCACGCAGACGAGCACACAGACGAGCACGCAGACGAGGACGCAGACGAGCACACAGACGAGCACACGGACGAGCACACGGACGAGCACACGGACGAGCACACAGACGAGCACACCAACGAGCACACAGACGAGCACACAGACGAGCACACAGACGAGCACACAGACGAGCACACAGACGAGCACACTGACGAGCACGCAGACTAGCACAGAGACGAGCACGCAGACGAGCACGCAGACGAGCACGCAAACGAGCACACAGACGAGCACACAGACGAGCACACAGACGAGCACACAGACGAGCACACAGACTAGCACACAGACGAGCATGCAGACGAGCACGCAGACGAGCACACGGACGAGCACACAGCCAAGCACACAGACGAGCACGCAGACAAGCACGCAGACGAGCACGCAGACGAGCACGCAGACGAGCACGCAGACGAGCACGCAGACGAGCACGCAGACGAGCACACAGAGGAGCACACAGACGAGCACACAGACGAGCACACAGACGAGCGCACAGAAGAGCGCACAGACGAGCACACAGACGAGCACACAGACGAGCACACAGACGAGCACGCAGACGAGCACAGAGACGAGCACAGAGACGAGCACACAGAGGACCACACAGACGAGCACACAGACGAGCACACAGACGAGCACGCAGACGAGCACACAGACGAGCACAGAGACGAGCACACAGACGAGCACACAGACGAGCACACAGACGAGCATACAGACGAGCACACAGACGAGCACACAGATGAGCTCTCAGACGAGCGCACAGACGAGCGCACAGACGAGCACACAGACGAGCACACAGATGAGCTCTCAGACGAGCACACAGACGAGCACACAGACGAGCACGCAGACGAGCAGGCAGACGAGCACGCAGACGAGCACGCAGACAAACACACAGAGGAGCATACAGACGAGCATATAGACGAGCACACAGACGAGCACACAGACGAGCACACAGATGAGCTCTCAGACGAGCGCACAGACGAGCGCACAGACGACCACACAGACGAGCACACAGACAAGCACGTAGACGAGCACGTAGACGAGCACACAGACGAGCACAGAGACGAGCACACAGACGAGCACACAGACGAGCACGCAGACTAGCACACTGACGAGCACACAGACGAGCACGCAGACGAGCACACAGACGAGCACACAGACGAGCACACGGACGAGCACACGGACGAGCATACAGACGAGCACACAGACGAGCACACAGACGAGCACGCAGACGAGCACGCAGACGAGCACACAGACGAGCATACAGACGAGCACACAGACGAGCACACAGATGAGCTCTCAGACGAGCGCACAGACGAGCGCACAGACGAGCACAAAGACGAGCACACAGACGAGCACGTAGACGAGCACGTAGACGAGCACACAGACGAGCACACAGACGAGCATACAGACGAGCACACAGACGAGCACGCAGACGAGCAGGCAGACGAGCACGCACACGAGCACGCAGACAAACACACAGAGGAGCACGGAGACGAGCACGCAGACGAGCACAGAGACGAGCACGCAGACGAGCACGCAGACGAGCACACAGACGAGCACACGGACGAGCACACGGACGAGCACACAGACGAGCACACAGACGAGCACACCAACGAGCACACAGACGAGCACGCAGACGAGCACACAGACGAGCACACAGACGAGCACACAGACGAGCACACTGACGAGCACGCAGACTAGCACAGAGACGAGCACGCAGACGAGCACGCAGACGAGCACGCAAACGAGCACACAGACGAGCACACAGACGAGCACACAGACGAGCACACAGACGAGCACACAGACAAGCACGCAGACGAGCACGCAGACTAGCACACAGACGAGCAAGCAGACGAGCACGCAGACGAGCACACGGACGAGCACACAGACGAGCACACAGACGAGCACACAGACGAGCACACAGACGAGCACGCAGACGAGCACAGAGACGAGCACGGAGACGAGCACACAGAGGACCACACAGACGAGCACACAGACGAGCACACAGACGAGCACGCAGACGAGCACACAGACGAGCACAGAGACGAGCACACAGACGAGCACGCAGACGAGCACAGAGACGAGCACGGAGACGAGCACACAGAGGACCACACAGACGAGCACACAGACGAGCACACAGACGAGCACGCAGACGAGCACACAGACGAGCACAGAGACGAGCACACAGACGAGCACACAGACGAGCATACAGACGAGCACACAGACGAGCACACAGATGAGCTCTCAGACGAGCACACAGACGAGCACACAGACGAGCACGCAGACGAGCAGGCAGACGAGCACGCAGACGAGCACGCAGACAAACACACAGAGGAGCATACAGACGAGCATACAGACGAGCACACAGACGAGCACACAGACGAGCACACAGATGAGCTCTCAGACGAGCGCACAGACGAGCGCACAGACGACCACACAGACGAGCACACAGACAAGCACGTAGACGAGCACGTAGACGAGCACACAGACGAGCACAGAGACGAGCACACAGACGAGCACACAGACGAGCACGCAGACTAGCACACTGACGAGCACACAGACGAGCACGCAGACGAGCACACAGACGAGCACACAGACGAGCACACGGACGAGCACACGGACGAGCATACAGACGAGCACACAGACGAGCACACAGACGAGCACGCAGACGAGCACGCAGACGAGCACACAGACGAGCATACAGACGAGCACACAGACGAGCACACAGATGAGCTCTCAGACGAGCGCACAGACGAGCGCACAGACGAGCACAAAGACGAGCACACAGACGAGCACGTAGACGAGCACGTAGACGAGCACACAGACGAGCACACAGACGAGCATACAGACGAGCACACAGACGAGCACGTAGACGAGCAGGCAGACGAGCACGCAGACAAGCACGCAGACAAACACACAGAGGAGCACGGAGACGAGCACGCAGACGAGCACACAGACGAGCACGCAGACGAGCACGCAGACGAGCACACAGACGAGCACACGGACGAGCACACGGACGAGCACACTGACGAGCACACAGACGAGCACACCAACGAGCACACAGACGAGCACGCAGACGAGCACACAGACGAGCACACATACGAGCACACAGACGAGCACACTGACGAGCACGCAGACTAGCACAGAGACGAGCACGCAGACGAGCACGCAGACGAGCACGCAAACGAGCACACAGACGAGCACACAGACGAGCACACAGACGAGCACACAGACGAGCACACAGACAAGCACGCAGACGAGCACGCAGACTAGCACACAGACGAGCAAGCAGACGAGCACGCAGACGAGCACACAGACGAGCACACAGACGAGCACACAGACGAGCACGCAGACGAGCACGCAGACGAGCACGCAGACGAGCACGCAGACGAGCACGCAGACGAGCACGCAGACGAGCACGCAGACGAGCACGCAGACGAGCACGCAGACGAGCACACAGACGAGCACACAGACGAGCACACAGACGAGCACACAGACGAGCACACAGACGAGCGCACAGACGAGCGCACAGACGAGCACACAGACGAGCACACAGACGAGCACACAGACGAGCACGCAGACGAGCACACAGACGAGCACGGAGACGAGCACACAGACGAGCACACAGACGAGCACGCAGACGAGCACGCAGACTAGCACACAGACGAGCACGCAGACGAGCACGCAGTGTTGTAAAATATATATCTATACAACATGCATGCCTAGATTAGGAGGTGTAGTCATTATAATTATTGGGGGGTTGTTGGTTGGGTTGACCAACCCCACATTTGGGTTGGTCAAGATTGGATTTGGTCCTAGACATTTGGTTGGCACTTTTCCAAACAAATGATCCTTGGTCCTAGGAACCAACCAATCACCAAGCACCACACTTTGTGGTTGCTTGCCTTCCAAGCAATCTCTCTCATTGGTCCACATTGTGGCTAATCGGAGAGCACAACACTTTGTGGTTGCTTGCCCTACAAGCAACCTCTCCCATTGGTCCACTTTATGGCCAATAGGAGAGCTTCCCTTCCAACTCTTCCTTGCTCCTTGTTTTGTACAAAAGAGCCTCTTGGCTCCCTACCCAATTCAATCTTTTCTCTTCCAAGCTAGTTCCTTCACGCAGACGAGCACGCAGACGAGCACGCAGAAGAGCACGCAGACGAGCACGCAGAAGAGCACACAGACGAGCACGCAGACGAGCACGCAGACGAGCACACAGACGAGCACACGGACGAGCACACAGACGAGCACATGGACGAGCACACGGACGAGCACACAGACGAGCACACAGACGAGCACGCAGACGAGCACGCAGACGAGCACGCAAACGAGCACACAGACGAGCACGCAGACGAGCACGCAGACGAGCACACAGACGAGCACACAGACGAGCACACAGACGAGCACACAGACGAGCACACAGAGGAGCACACAGAGGAGCACGCAGAGGAGCACGCAGACGAGCACGCAGACGAGCACGCAGACGAGCACACAGACGAGCACACAGACGAGCACACAGACGAGCACCCAGACGAGCACGCAGACGAGCACACAGACGAGCACACAGACGAGCACACAGTCGAGCACGCAGACGAGCACGCAGACGAGCACACAGACGAGCACGCAGACGGGCACACAGACGAGCACGCAGGACGAACAAGCGACTCTCAAGTGGCGGGACTGGCAGGGTGCTCACGTGGCGAGGCAGAGGTCGTGAGTTATCTCCAGCTCAGCAATGCGGAGGGTGGGGGAGGAGGAGAGCAGCGGATGCTGCTGCAGACGATGCAGGAGAGGAAGGGCCACTGGAGGAAGGGGGAGGGGGGGGGAGAGCAAGAGGAAGAACACGGTAGGAGCGAATCAACCAGGCTCGTATGACATGAAGATGGAAGGTGGAACACAAGACGGGCTGGAAGAGATGACAATGATATCGCGGTGGAATCCCCAAGCTGATCCCCAAGCTGATCTCCAATCCGTGGACTGAAGGGTTCAGGGGCGCACATTCGAGAAAGGGAGAGAATTTTTGTACACCCATCCTACCCAAAACTTTGACAATTAAACTGTGTGACACGTGCAAACAAACAAGTGAAAATAGAGCCTATTTTGATGGCACCCTCTTGGTTGCAATGGGGAGGGTGGAGAAGACGGAGCAGAGAGCCCCGTGGAATCGCGCGGGGCGTGATGGTCGGCACGTGCAATGGAGGTGAGGAGGTGAGCGCGGTGGCAGGCAGGGGCGACGCGGTGCGCCGTCAGCTGGGCGTGCTGAAGGAGGCCACCACGGAGCACTGGACGGCACCGCACGTGGTACATGCGGGTGTGTGAAGCTGAGTCCTTGGTGAGCTGAATGGTGCGCTTACCATCACACCACAGGTTTGGACGGAGGGAATATACAGTCAGTGTGCTTCGTGGCCGTGATTGGTGGCATGCCGTTCAGCGTTGCATGGTGGGGAGAGACTGCGAAAGACGGAGTGAGTGGCAGACCTTGACCTAATAGATGAGGTAGAGAAGCACAGGACCTTAAAGCACAGGGTGAGATGGGTTGGAAAGCCAGGACATCTGGGTGGACTTTCGAACGGGATTTACAGAAATTCGTATTGGTTGGAGATTGTGGGAGGTCACAGTTGAGTGAGGCTGGGACTCTGTGACTTGGAGCATACGAACCACTCTGAAACGAGTGAACTCGGATAGCACAACAAATGCAGGAGTGGCTGTGCAGCCCGCCTTCAACAAAAGGTGAGTGCAGCATGCTCCTGCCATACCATCCTCCTTCATCCGCCCTGGAGACCCACACAGACAAATCAACCCCCCTTCCCCCCCATCCCTTCATTCCCTACCTCGCAACTCACCTGAGGCCCACCCGACGTTCACCTAAGCCCACCTGACATTCACCTGAAGCCCACCTGACGTTCACCTGAGGCCCACGTGACGTTCACCCGAGGCCAACCCGAGGCCCACCTGAGGCGCCACGGTGTGCAGCTGTGTGTCGCAGCAGCTTGACTGCTGCCGCTGCAAGGTCGTCAGCCCTGCAGGGCGGGATGGCAGCGAGGAGCAGGAGAGAGAGCTCATGCACGGCTGGCACTAGAGCCCATGCACGGCCAGCCAGGGGACGAACGACCAGGCAAATGGTTGGGGAAAGGGGATGTGGAATGAAAGGGAAGTGAATGGCATGCGGGGCGAAAGCAGGAAGGCGTGGGTGGGAGAGCGAGGAGAAGAAGGGGATGCGTGAAGGCAAGAGACAAGAGGACAGCAGAACGCTGGCGGAAGGTTCAAAAGCGAGAGAGGCGCGTCGAATGATGAGGAGGGGTCGAAGAATGGTTGCGAAAGGAGAGCTCACGTGGCAGCATCGGAGTAGCAGAGAAGATGCAGTGCTGAGCTGGCCATGGCCATAGAGGGGCTGATGTGGCGGCAGGGGGAGGGAGCGAGAGTGACAGCGGCGTATGAGTGGAATAGACATGCGGGTGCAAGGTTAATGAGAAGAAAACAACAGAAAGGTGCATTGCATGGCATGCACGTGGATGGGCAAGGGTGCCTCTTAACGCATGAAGGGCATGCTCCATGCTCCACGACGCTCCCCTTCCCCCCAGCTTGCTATCGTCAGTCAGTGATGTGCCTCCGGGGAATGCCACCTCCGGGGAATGCTGTTAGAATCTTCCCCTATTCTATATTAGCCTACATCGTTTATAAGGCTTAGGTCATTGTAAGCAGCCTATCTCTACTAGGGTGTAGTAACCCTAGGTTGGGGGTTGGCTTCCCACCTTGTTTGGGTTCCAACCTTGGCCATTATTGGCCCCCACCCAATGGGCTTGACCTCCCAATTATTGGAGGCCCCAATAATCCTACCAAGATTATTGGACCCTCCAATAATCTTGGCTGGGATTATTGGACCCCCCAATAATTCCCAACTCCATTATTGGTGTGGACCAATAATCTTGGCCAAGGTCCCAACCAACCCCCCCCCCCCCCTTTCTTACCCTCACACCTATGTATACCCTCATTTCTTCAATAACATCATCAACTTCTCTTCTCACAAATGCCACCTCCGGGGAAATGCCACCTCCCGGGAATGCCACCTCCGGGAATGCCACCTCCGGGGAATGCCACCTCCGGGGAATGCCACCTCCGGGGAATGCCACCTCCGGGGAATGCCATGTCAGGAGAGTCGAGTCGAGAATTGACTCATTTGCTCATGTCTATTCACCACCCTCACCACCCTCACCACTCACCACTCTCACACCACTCATAACCATCGCCAATCAATACCCTCACACCAATCACTACCCTCACACCAATCACTACCCTCACACCACTAACCCCCTCACATCACTCGCCCCGTCTCAACACTCACCACCCATACACCTCCCATGCGGCAGCCCGCACGCCATGCGCCGCCCCTGCCAGCCGCACCACTGCAGCACCACATGGTAGGTTGGTAACATCATCAACTTCTCTTCTCACATGGTATTCAGAGCCTATGGCTCACGCCACCTCCTAGAACGATCCTGAAAGTGTGTTCCTTCCCACGCCCTCCCTCCGCGCACTTTGCGCCTTGCTCCCGCGCATTCCGCGCTGCCCCCCCTAGCGCACCCCGTGCCCTCTCCGCGCACATTTCCGCGCCGCTGCCGCATTTCGCGGCTCTCCCGTCGTCGCTCGTCGCGACCGTTCGTCTCCGCACTTCGCGGCTCTCCCGTCGCCGCCCGTTGCGACCGTTTGTCGCCGCATTTCGCGGCTCTCCCGTTGTCGCTCGTCGCGACCGTTCGTCGCTGCATTTTGCGGCTCTCCCGTCACCGCATTTCGCGGCTCTCCCGTCGCCGCTTGTCGCGGCCGCTCGTCGCGGCACTTCGCTGCCCTCCCGTTGCCGCATTTCGCGGCCCTCTCGTCGCCGCATTTATCGGCCTTTCCGTCACTGCATTTCGCGGTTGCTCGTCGCCGCATTTCGCGACCCTCCCGTCGTCACCGCTCGTCGCGCGCAGCACGCATTAGCACTCGACGCAATCTCGTCATCCGTGCCACTCGACGACCCTTTCGTGGAAGGATTCCAAGGCTGCCCGTCGCACACCCGTCCTTTTTCTCCTTCCTCTCTCCTCCTCCCCCTCCCCCCACGTCGCTGGAAGCCGGTCCCTGGTCGCTGGTTGGCTGCAGGTAGCTGATTCCCACCCGCCATGGCAACGGACTCGCTCGCGGTTGACATCAGCACCATCGATGCACTCGAACTCGCCGATGGCGTGGTTCCTATCAACTGGAACTCGTTCGCGCAAAGCATCACCACAGTTCTCGGCTCCACAATCATCAACGACTTCTGCCTCCTCGACATCCTCGAGGACACTGAGGCAGGAAAGCCCCCTCCCCCCCTGATCCCCCCTCAGGACCTGAGCCCATCAAGCCCACTCACCCCGAGTACAACACTGATCCTGACCGCTGGGCTCGCCTCCGCACTAAGTACGACAAAGACTTCGCCGACTACACTCTTCTCCAACACACCTACTCCGAGAAGCAGAACGCCCACGACGAAGCCAAAGCACTCATCTCCAAGTATGACATAGACGTTGCTCAGCATGCCGCAGACTCTCGTGAGTTTCGCACTCGCTATGCTCCTTGGGTTCAAGCTGACCGCAAATGCCTCTCCATCCTCATTGCTTGCGTCCCTTCCTCCCTTAAACGCGAGATCAATCCCTCCTCCTCTGCCTCTTTCTGGAAGGAGCTTTGTGCCACCTATGACCTGCAGGACACAAACTCCCTCCTCGCACTCCATCGTGCATTCCGCGAGATCACACTCGATAGCTGCCCCAACGCGCTTGCTTTCACCCGGCGCCTCACCTCCACTGCCAGCCGCCTCGCTGCTCGCGACTCAGCTCTTCCCGATTCCCTCCTCGTGTGCCGCCTCCTCGACGGCCTCTCGCCGATGTTTGACACGCGCAAGGTGGCCTTCGATGAAGTCCATGCCCGCTACCCGCCTGACTCCACCGAGGTCGTCACGTGGATCCTAAAGACTGAGGCGGAACTCCTCCGCCAGTCTCCCCCAACCGTGAATGCCGCACAGGCACGTGGTGGACGTGCTGGCGGACGTGGTGGCAGCACGGCGGGGCGCTCTGGAGGAGGTCGCGGGGGCGGACGCAGTGGTGAACGTGGCGGTGGCAGCGGCCGATGCACCGGTAACTACCCTCCATGTCAGTATCTCATTCGTTACGGCACCAACAAAGGTCAGCGCTGCCTCCAAACTACTCATCCCACAACCACCTGCTTCAAGGCACTTACGGATGAATGGTTTGACCGCGGGAACACTGGTATCCCACCCCGCTGGTCATCCATGACTCCGCCCCCCACTGCTCTTGATGTTCGCACTTCTCCCGCCTATCAGTCGTCCTCCCTTCGCCAGATCCTGGCACAGCACCTGTCCCCCCAAGTCCTCCAGCAGGTTCAATCCCTTCTCCCTCCACAGCAGCAGCAGTACACCCAGCAGCAGCAGCAGTACCCCCAGCAGCAACAGCCGTTTCAGCAGCAGTACCAGCAGCAGTACCAACAGCAGTACCAGCAGCAGCAGTAGCAGCAACAGCCGCAACAGCAGCAGCAGCAGCCGACTCCTCCTCCCCCATCTCAGCAATCCTCCGCTTCGAGTGCTATGCCGGCCATGTTAGGATTAAGGACAGAGTCTAGGTGAACTTAGGAGCTAGAATTACTCAAAATATAAATCCGAAATTCTGGACAGAAAAGTCGTCTTCACAAGAAACGACGTCGACAAAACACTAGCCGTTGGAATGTCGCGAAACTTGGATATGTTGTAGCTCTTGATCTCAGCTACCGTTCCCAATTTGAATCACGTTGATTGATGAAGTATTCGCGACGCTATGGCTTTCGACGCACTAGGGGGTAAGCTGTAGGAGGAGAACTTAACTCAATCTCAAGAGTTCAATCAAAGTTCAAGAATCTCACAAGGAATTTGAAGAGCAAGAGAAAGGTTGGGATAGAAAGAGAGGGACGAGAGGGAAGGTCCCAAGAGAGTCCCCAACCAAGGAAACCCCATAAGCACAAAGATTCCCTCCCTATAGGAACCTCAACTTTGACCTTTGTCCCTTCCCAACCAATCCATCCAAGTTGGCCACCCTTGCCAACCTAGCTTGGTTGTTCCCAACCAATTTGCAGCTGTTACAGTAGAGTGACAAATTTCCCCAACCCCAAAGGTCCCAACTCCATATAGAGTCACCCCACAACTTCACTTTGTAACCGCCGCAATTGTAACGCAAGCTCATGAACTTTGAATCTTCATAGCTTTCGCGTTCTTGCTCCGATTGAAGGGATTCTCGTTGCGTCGGAAAGATCTTCTCAAGATCTATCATCACAAAAAACCTGCTCAAACAAAATAACACAAAACACATTCCCAAACTCCAGAACACATCACACACAAATTCTTGCACACGTTCAAACCACACATGCAAGTTGAAAAAATATGGGATGGGAGGCAGACAGAATGTGATAGCATATGATGACATCACACAACAGGCCACAACTGCCCAGACTCCCTCTGGTCTTCCCGGTTTCACTCCCTTCCCCTCTGCTGGTTTCTTAGGTCATGTTACTCAGCCTGATCCCACTATTCTGTATCCCGAATCTATGAATGAAGCTTCTTTCCAGTATTCCCGGACCCACTCCTCCCCTCCCCTTGAGTTCGTAATTGACAGTGGAGCAAGCGCCCCGGTCCTCCGTGACGCCGGTCATCTTGCTCCCCTCACCTCCCCCTCCACCATCCTTGGGGCAGATTCCAGTTTCTCCATCACCACCACTCACACCTCCACCCTCCCCTGTCCCCTTTTTCCCTCTGCCTCCGTCACAGGTTTTCACATCCCCTCACTTCGTACTAACCTTGTCTCCCAAGGTGCCCTCCAACGTGCCGGGGTGACTACGATCCACCCCGGCCACGCTTCCCACTGTGACTTGTATCACTCCACCTCCGGTCGATTCATCACCCGTGTCCCCTTATGTCCTACCTCTCGTATGTACACCCTTCGCACTCCTCGTCCCGCCCTGTGTCAGGCTGCCTCTCTTACCCCCTCCGGTCCCCCTACACTTTTTCCTCTTCAACCCCTACCCACCAGTCCCTCCTCTTCTCTAGCACCCCCCCCATCCCAATGCCACTGCCGGGATCTTTCCCATCCCGCCCTACTCCTCCACCACCGCCTTGGGCATCCCAATTTTGCCACCCTCCAATGCACTGTTGCCACTGGCCTTCTCAAAGGCCTTCCACTCACCGTTCCCCCTCTCCCTCCCTCTCTTGCCCCTCCCTGCACCATTTGTGTTCAGGCTAAGCTGAAACAACTCCCTCATAAAAGCCACCCCTCATATGCCCCTGAGCTCCTGGACATTGTCCATATGGATCTCTGGGGACCCAACCCCTCCCCTACCTGCCAGGGTCACCGCTACCTTCTTGTCCTCGTCGACGATCACTCCCGGTATACCTCGGTCTCTCTCCTTCGAACGAAGGCCGAGGCTCCGGCTGCGATCATCGCTTGGGCAGAGCAGGCCCGTACACACTTTAAACGCCCCGTTCGTCACTTCCACTCCGATGGAGGCGGCGAATTTCTAAACCAGCAGTTTTCCTCATACTGCATTTCCCATGGCATTCGCCATACCCATACCCTTCCGCACTCCCCAGAGCAGAATGGTCTGGCCGAGGCTCGGATTCGAGAGATCACTAAAACTGCTCGGTGTCTCCTAGTCCATGCCTCGTGCCCGCCCTCTCTTTGGGGCTATGCCTTCCTCCACGCGACCCTCCTAACTAACCTCTACCCCCACCCCCTCCGTCCTTCCACTACCCTTACCGAGCTTTGGACGTCCTCCAAGCCCGATATTTCTCCCCTTCGCGTCTGGGGCTCAAAGGCTCATGTCCTCATACACCCCGCCGACCGCTCTCGCACAGCAGGGAAGCTTGCCTCCGAGGCCCTTCCCTGCATCTTCCTTGGGCACAACCCTTCTTCCCCTGATTACCTTTTCCTCCATCCCCCCTCAGGTCGTCTCATACGTAGTCGGGACGTCGTCTTCGACGAATCCACCCCGTACTACTCTTCCCCCCCCACAAGTGACCCTCTTACCGTCACCCCTCGCCCTCTCACTGTGTCCGACACGATCTCCCTGCCTCTTCTCCCCCCTCCCCCCCTTGTCCCTCCACCTCCCCCTCCTCCACTTCCCCCGTCCTCTGGTCAATCTGACGACGCCTCTGATTTGGTAATCCCCCCCTCCCCCTCCCCCTCCTCCGCTTCCGCCCCTCCTCCTGCCCCTACTCCCGCTTCCACCTCCGCCTCTGATCCCGCCCCAGCCGCCACCTATCCTGCCCCTCCTGCCCCTGGCCCCGCTCCTGCCCAGGATCAACCTCCTCTTGTTCTTCGACATCGCCCGCATACACGGTCCATGGATCCCATTTTTGGTCCTCCCACCCCTGCCCCCACCTCCCGACCTCAGTCCCCTCACCCTCCCTCCATCCAGATACCAACGCAACCATCCCGCCGTGCAGCAGCGCAGCAATCCAGCTGTACAACAGCCCTCCAACTCCGTCATGCAACAACGCAACCATCCCGCAGTGCAGCAGCGCAGCAGTCCAGCATTGCAACAGCAACGTGCAGCCGTGTGGCCGAGTCGCCATCTCGCCACCACCCCTACCTCCGCCTCTCTCTCCTCTCCTTATTGAGGACTCCCATGGCGAGTTCCTCCGCCTCCACCTTTTTTCCTCCTCCTGCGCCGTCGCCTTCAACGTCGCCGGGGCGCCAGTCTTGGTCTTCGAAGGCGCACCCATCATCTTCGAGCCCGGAGACTATGATGAAGCCATGACCTGCCCTGACAGTCCTCGTTGGGGAAAGGCCGTCCTCAAGGAGAACGAAGCTTTCGTACGCAATGGCACCTTTGTCGACGTCCCTCGCCCCCCCAACACCAACGTGGTCAAGGGCAAGTGGGTCTTTCGTGTGAAGCTCCTTCCCGGCGATGACCCAATCTACAAAGCTCGTTACTGCGCTAAAGGTTTTACGCGGCGGTATGGTCACGACTTCTTCGAGACATACTCACCGACCGCGACACCGCCAGTTGTGCGCGTCTTCCTCGACTTTGTCGGTCGACGTGGCATGATCCTTCACTCCATGGATGTCACTACGGCATTCCTGCAGGGCGAGCTTCATGAACGCATCTTTATGGAGCGCCCCAAGGGCTGGCATCTCCCCTTTGACCCTAATACTGTCTGGGAGCTTCGCCGCCCTATGTACGGCCTCAAGCAGGCTCCTCGGGAGTGGCACGCCAAGCTCTCCAGCACCCTTCGAGACCTTGGTTTTCGCCCCTCCGCGGCTGCCACCAGCCTCCTCCTCCGGACCTCTCCCTCCCCCTTCTACATTCTCGTCTATGTCGACGATATGTTACTCGCCGCCGACAATGACGCTGAAATGCAGCAAGTCAAGGACGAGCTTCAGAGGCGCCTCGCCTGCAAGGACCTGGGAGAGGTCCGCAACTACCTCGGCATGGAGATCACCCGTGACCGCGCGGCGAAAACCATCTCTCTCTCTCAAGCCTTCTACGTCCAAAAGGTCCTTGAGCGGTTCGAGATGGCCACAGCCAAACCCATCTCCACGCCGCTTCCCGTCGGTCACCAGCTCTCCCCTGCTGCCACCCCCTCCTCCTCCACTCAACCATACGCCGAGCTCGTTGGGTCCTTGATGTACGCAATGATGTGTACACGTCCTGACCTCGCCTACCCCATCAGCGTTCTGGCACGCTTTGTCGGTGCTGGCAAGCACACTCTCGAGCATTGGCAGGCGGCCAAGCGTGTTCTACGCTACCTGCGAGGCACCAAGGACTATGTCCTCACCCTTGGAGGACCCTCCCCTCCTGCGCTCATTGGCTACAGTGACTCGTCCTCGGCCGACTCCCAACCCGACCGCCGCAGTTCTCAAGGGTACGGCTTCTCCCTTGGCAACGGTCTCATCTCATGGCGCTCCACCCGCTCCTCCTCCATAGCTCTCTCCTCCTGCGAAGCCGAACTTTACGCCGTCACCATGGCGGCCCAAGAGGCACGGTGGCTCAGCTACCTCCTCGCTGAGCTGGATGCCCCCCAGCCCTGTCCCATCATTTGGTGCGACAATGCCAGCACCATTCACCTTACCAAGGAAGCCGTCTTTCACGGCCGCCCTAAGCACATCGAGTTGCGCCACTACTTCGTCCGCGAGCTTGTCCAGGCCGGGCACCTGGCCGTCCGCAAGATTGACTCCTCCGCCAACCTTGCAGATATCTTCACCAAAGCTCTCTCTCGGCCCGCTCATGCTAATCTTCTCCGGCTAACTGGCCTCGCTCCTCCCTCCTCTCGCGGGAGCACCTAATTCAGGGGTTGCTCTTTCAAGCGCTCCGCCTTCTAGCCCTATGTAGGCTAAGGGGTTGTATTAGAATATTCCCCTATTCTTTATTAGCCTACATCGTTTATAAGGCTTAGGTCATTGTAAGCAACCTATCTCTACTAGGGTGTAGTAACCCTAGGTTGGGGGTTGGCTTCCCACCTTGTTTGTGTTCCAACCTTGGCCATTATTGCCCCCCCCCCAATGGGCTTAACCTCCCAATTATTGGAGGCCCTAATAATCCTACCAAGATTATTGGACCCTCCAATAATCTTGACTAGGATTATTGGACCCCCCAATAATTCCCAACTCCATTATTGGTGGGGACCAATAATCTTGGCCAAGGTCCCAACCAACCCCCCCCCCCCCCTTTCTTACCCTCACACCTATGTATACCCTCATTTCTTCAATAACATCATCAACTTCTCTTCTCACAAATGCCACCTCCGGGGAAATGCCACCTCCCGGGAATGCCACCTCCGGGGAATGCCACCTCCGGGGAATGCCACCTCCAAGGAATGCCACCTCCGGGAAATGCCACCTCCGGGGAATGCCACCTCCGGGGAATGCCACCTCCAAGGAATGCCACCTCCGGGGAATGCCACCTCCCGGGAATGCCACCTCCGGGGAATGCCACCTCCAAGGAATGCCACCTCCGGGGAATGCCATGTCAGGGGAGTCGAGTCGAGAATTGACTCATTTGCTCATGTCTATTCACCACCCTCACCACTCACCACTCTCACACCACTCATAACCATCGCCAATCAATACCCTCACACCAATCACTACCCTCACACCAATCACTACCCTCACACCACTAACCCCCTCACATCACTCGCCCCGTCTCAACACTCACCACCCATACACCTCCCATGCGGCAGCCCGCACGCCATGCGCCGCCCCTGCCAGCCGCACCACTGCAGCGGGCGGGGGGGCCAGCCTCCCTGCCGCTGCTGCCGCCGCTGCCGCTGGGGCTGCGGAGGCTGCGGCTTGTGGGGTGGGCATGGTCTGGGCGGAGGAGAAGAGCCCCGCGGCGGTGGAGGCGGAGGAGAGCGGCGCGGAGAGGGCGAGGCTGGACGTGAGGCTCAGGGCGGCCGCTGCTGCCGCCACGGCAGACGAGGAGGAGGAGGAGGCCAGGCGCAGCGCGGCGAGGGAGAGGGGGGCGGAGGGGGGGAAGGAAAGCGGGGAGAGGGCGGAGGGAAGGAGGATGGCGGAGGTGCAGGAGTGGTTGAAGAGGTGTGCTCCCATGCGCAGGTGCTGCGGGGGGGGAGGGGACAGGACAGGGGCAACAGCGAGGAGGATGCAGTGATGAGGGAGGACCAGGAGAGGGGAGGGGATGGGCTGGGCGGAAGGGGGAAGAAACGGGCAACAGATGACAGGCGGACTGGCGAGGCGGAGGAGACAAGAACGGGTGTGCTATACAAGCGACACATTGACTCGGGAAGGTGCTCGCTGTGGCGTAATGGCGCAGATGCCTCGTTGGGCAATGGGAAGAGGTGACGCAGGGGAATGGCAGGACGAGCAGAGCGGAGCAGCACGGCTTACGTGGCAGACAAGGAGCGGCGATGGGGTGACGTCGGAGGGGGGGAGGGAGAGGGAGGTGGTGCCATGCAGTGGCCTCACGCCCGATACGTGCTGCACGCAGGGGGTGGGAGGGGGGAGGCGGGCATGGGGAGGGGTGGGGAGGGTAAGCACGGTGGCTCAGGGTGGGTGATGGATGGGAGAGAGGAGGGAGGAGGAGGAAAGGAGAGAGGGAAGAGGAATGTGGGGAGAGTGAAGAGCCAGCTGGAACGAGCTGGTTACCACAGCAGCGTGACCACGTTGGTACCACAGCAGCATGACCACGTGGGTACCACAGCAGCATGACCACGTGGGTACCACAGCAGCATGACCACGTGGATACCACAGCAGCATGCCCACGTGGGTACCACAGCAGCATGACCACGTGAGTACCACAGCAGCATGACCACGTGGGTACAACAGCAGCATGCCCACGTGGGTACCACAGCAGCATGACCACGTGGGTACCACAGCAGCATGACCACGGTCCACGTGGGTACCTCGACACTGTAGCGGGCGAGCAGCAGGTGGATGGCGAAGACGAGGCGCGGCAGTCGCAGCTGGGCACCGCGCAGCAGGCAGCGCTGCAGCAACGCGCACACCTGCTGCTGCACCGCCCCCACCGCCCCCTCGCCCTCCCCCTCCCCCTCCTCCTCCCCCTCCCCCTCCCCTTCCCCATCCATGCGCCCATGGACCCCATACCCTCCCCCCACAACAGCCTTTTTCCCCCCTTCCCTCCCTCCCCCCCGCCAAACTCCCCCCTCCAGCCGCGTGGGCTGCTGCAGCGAGCTGGGCGCTCCCAGCGCCGCCAGCTGTCGACGGGCGTCTGACGAGGCAGTCTGCGATAGGAGGTGACAGATGGCTGACAGGGCATGCACCAGGCACACGTCATCAGTCTCCTGTTTCCAGATCAGGGAGAGGGGGAGGAGGAAACGGAAAAGGAGGAAAAGGAGGAAAAAGAGGAAAACATGGGAAAGAAAGACAGGATAGAAGGGTGCAAGCCAAAGTTGTTAGCATAGCATGGTACGCAGTCATGGTGCACTGTGACGGCATGCTGTGATGGCATGCTGTGACGGCATGCTGAACCGGCATGCTGTGATGGCATGCTGTGATGACATGCTGTGATGGCATGCTGTGATGGCATGCTGTGATGGCATGCTGTGATGGCATGCTGTGATGGCATGCTGTTGTGGCGTGCTGTGATGGCATGCTGTGTTGCGCCATGTGCCCTGTCTCACCTGCTGCGCCATGTGCACTGTCTCGATCAAAGCCTGGCGTGGCGGGTGGGGGCACAAGACGGGTGGGGGCACAAGACGGGTGGGGGCACAAGACGGGTGGGGGCATACCCCCTGGCGTGCTGTACCCCCATGGCGTGCTATGTCTGCCGCGCATACCCCCATGGCGTGCTGTGTGCAAGGTGCAAAAAAACAGCGTTTTTACTTTTTTTTACCGTATAAAACGGAATCGTATAACACGGCCGTTTAATACGATTAAAACAGTCAAAAGTGGTGTTTTCTGACTGGTGCAAAATAACGGCCGTTTTATACGGCCGTTTTTTTTATACCGCCATAAATAACGGAAGTTCGCTTTATACCGAGGAGGGTGAGGAGGGTGAGGAGGGCGATTGAAGCGAGGAAGGGGAGGACTAGGGTGAGGAGGAGGAGGACAATTAGGAGGAGGAGCAGAGCCGGAGTAGAGTAGGAAGACTAGGAGGAGGAGGGTGAAGGAAGGGCGAGAAGGACAATGAAAGGAGGTCTAGGAGGACGAGGATGGTGTTTTAGATGAACGTCGGCTGTGGCCGCCACCAGGCCCTCTGTTTCGCAGCGGTTTTTTCAAGTTTACGGTTACAAAAAACAAAAAAAACAAAAAAAACAAAAACAAAAAAAAAAAACTCTTACAAAAAAACGGTAGAATTTGCATAAATCTGCTGTATAAAACGACCGTAAAAAACGGACCGTTTAATACGGAAACCCTTTTTCTGCACCTTGGCTGCGTGTGCCGCACTTCCCCCCATGGCGTGCTGTGTGTGCCACACATACCCTCATGGCGTGCTGTGTGTGCCACACATACCTCCATGGCATGCTGTGTGTGCCACACATACCCCCATGGCGTGCTGTGTGTGCCACGCATACCCCCATGGCGTGCTGTGTGTGCCGCACATACATACCCCCGACGCCCGTGGCGTGCTGCGTGTGCCGCACACACATACCCCCATGGCTTGCTGCGTGTGCCGCACATACATACCCCCATGGCGTGCTGCATGTGCCGCGCATACCCCCATGGTGTGCTGCGTGTGCCGCACATACATACCCCCATGGCTTGCTGCGTGTGCCGCACATACATACCCCCATGGCGTGCTGTGTGTGCCGCACATACATACCTCCATGGCGTGCTGTGTGTGCCGCACATACATACCCCCATGGCGTGCTGTGTGTTCCGCACATACATACCCCCATGGCGTGCTGTGTGTACCGCACATACAAACCCCCATGGCGTGCTGTGTGTGCCGCACATACATACCCCCATGACGTGCTGTGTGTGCTGCACATACATACCCCCATGGCGTGCTGCTTGTGCCGCACATACATACCCCCATGGCGTGCTGCGTGTGCCGCGCATACCCCCTGGCGTGCTGTACCCCCATGGCGTGCTATGTGTGCCGTGCATACCCCCATGGCGTGCTGCGTGTGCCGCACATACCCCCATGGCGTGCTGCGTGTGCTACACATACCCCCATGGCGTGCTGTGTGTGCCATGCATACCCCCATGGCGTGCTGTGTGTGCCGCACATACATACCCCCGTGGCGTGCTGCGTGTGCCGCACATACTGTGAGAAGAGAAGTTGATGATGTTATTGAAGAAATGAGGGTATACATAGGTGTGAGGGTAAGAAGTGGGGGGGGGTTGGTTGGGACCTTGGCCAAGATTACTGGTCCCCACCAATAATGGAGTTGGGAATTATTGGGGGGTCCAATGATCCCAACCAAGATTATTGGAGGGTCCAATAATCTTGGTAGGATTATTGGGGTCTCCAATAATTGGGAGGTCAAGCCCATTGGGGGGGCCAATAATGGCCAAGGTTGGAACCCAAACAAGGTGGGAAGCCAACCCCCAACCTAGGGTTACTACACCCTAGTAGAGATAGGTTGCTTACAATGACCTAAGCCTTATAAACGATGTAGGCTAATATAGAATAGGGGAATATTCTAACACATACATACCCCCATGGCGTGCTGCGTGTGCCGCACATACATACCCCCATGGCTTGCTGCGTGTGCCGCACATACATACCCCCATGGCGTGCTGTGTGTGCCGCACATACATACCCCCATGGCGTGCTGTGTGTGCCGCACATACATACCTCCATGGCGTGCTGTGTGTGTCGCACATACATACCCCCATGGCATGCTGTGTGTGCCGCACATACATACCCCCATGGCGTGCTGTGTGTGCCGCACATACATACCCCCATGGTGTGCTGTGTGTGCCGCACATACATACCCCCATGGCGTGCTGTGTGTGCCGCACATACATACCCCCATGGTGTGCTGTGTGTGCCGCACATACATACCTCCATGGCGTGCTGTACCCCCATGGCGTGCTATGTGTGCCGTGCATACCCCCATGGCGTGCTGCGTGTGCCGCACATACATACCCCCATGGCGTGCTGCGTGTGCCGCACATACATACCCCCATGGCGTGCTGTGTGTGCCGCACATACATACCCCCATGGCGTGCTGTGTGTGCCGCACATACATAACCCCATGGCGTGCTGTGTGTGCCGCACATACATACCTCCATGGCGTGCTGTGTGTGCCGCACATACATACCCCCATGGCATGCTGTGTGTGCCGCACATACATACCTCCATGGCGTGCTGTGTGTGCCGCACATACATACCCCCATGGCGTGCTGTGTGTGCCGCACATACATACCCCCATGGCGTGCTGTGTGTGCCCGTATCGTGCGTGCATGGCGCCCTCCACCAGCAGCCCCGCCTGGAATCGCCCCGCCCACCACTCCGACGCCGGGCGACTACCCACCGCTGTCACGCCCGCACTGCTTGGAGAGAGGAGGGGGAGGCAGGGGGCGGAAGCGGGAGGGTGGAGTGACGGTGTGCGCAAGAGTCGGGGAAGAGCGCACAAGACACGGAAGAACAGAATGGAGGCTTCACTCCTCGTGGCGGCTGCACTCCTCGTGGTGGCTGCACTCCTCGTGGCTGCCTCACCATGAGCGCCACGCGTGCACAGCACACTCACACGATCACACGTATCAACGTGCGAACGCCACACTCTCCCCCACACTTCCTTGCCCTGTCATGCAGCAGGCCCTTCCCACTGCCCCCCACACTCGCACGCGCCTGCGAATGCCCTCTCATGGGCCTCTCTACTCCAGCAACCCATCCGTGGCACCTGTATGACCCCCCCCTCTCCGCCTGGCCATGACTGTTCACCTGTAGTCGAAGTAGCGGTGCAGGGAGGCGAGGGAGGAGGAGAGATGGCGCGAGGAGAGAGACTCGTGGTGCTGCCACAGATGCACCTGATGCCATGCACCCACGCCATGCACCCATGTGATGCCATGCACCCATGTGATGTCATGCACCCATGTGCCATGCGCCCATGCCATGCCATGCAGCCATGTGATTCCATGCAGCCATGCAGCAATGTGAAAGAAAGAGGTGAGTAAAGGCAAGGAGAGTGGTAGGTCGCATGGAGAGGCGTGGCGTGCAAGAGCCAAGAGGGGTGGCATGGGCACGCAACAGGCAGAACAGAGGGCACACGGATGGGCTGCCAGGGATGGCTTCACACCGCCATGCATATAGCAAGGCACATGTATGCACCTTGGGCGGCAGGTCGTGCGCATACGCCATGGCGCTCACGTCGTCTGGCAGCGCACCACCCATGGCGCCAGCATGCCCCCCTTCACTGGTCCTCGGGCTTGCTGCTGCTGCGCCCAGCCTGCAGCGCACACGATGGACGAATGGATGGGGCATGCGCGTGAGAAGGGGAGTGCACGAGAGCGGATGCTCTCCATTCCGCTCTGCCCCCTCCACCTTCCCACGCACACTACTAGCCATGCCTCTCTGCACGAGTCGCATCGCACCACTGCTGCGCCAAGCACACACATGGCAAGCACAGCTCCAGGGGCGAGGGGGAGAGAGAGCAGCTGGGACGAGCGAAAAGGGAGAGAGGGCACGAGAGGGGGAGCGAGACGGGCATAGACGGAACGAGTACAGGAGAGAGGAAAAGGACAGTGGCGAGAAGCGAACCAAGGGAAGAGATGTTTCACCACCGTGCTCGCACCTGCTGGCGTCCGCGCACCTGGTGGCCGCCTCCATGCGCGCATCCAGGTACTCCGCCAGGCGCCCCGCCTCCCGAAGATACCGCTTCTGCGTGCCGCCTCCTCCCCCTCGCCCCTCCTCACTCTCCCGCCCCTCTTCCCCTGCCTCTGCCTCCACCCCCACCATCCCTCCACTGCTCCTCCTTCCTCCTCCTCCCCCCCACACGCCCCCATCTCTCCCGTCCGCCTGCACTGCATCATCCCCCTCCCTCTGCCCCTCCCCCCTCCCCCCAGCACCTCGCGCTCAAACTCCTCCTCCCACGCCGCCCTGCCCTCCCCCTCCTCCGCCCCTCCCACCCTCCCCCCGCTGAGCCAAGCCGCCCCCTCTGCTGCGGCCCTGCCGCCCACCCGTCTGGCTTGTTGCCTCTGCGCGCTCCCCTGGGGCCCCCTGCTGCGATGCGTGATGGTGTCGAACGACAGCGGCCGCGAGGAAGCACCCGGTGATGCGAGCATGCAGTGGCTGTCGCCCTCCCAGTCCACCTCCATGGCCTCCCCGCCATCCCGCCACACCTCCTCCCCTTCCTCCCTCCACTCTGAATCCCCCTCTGCTGCCTCGCTCCCCATCTCCCGGCTGTGTGCCTGCATGCCCCTGCGGCCCGCCCACTGGTGCAGGTAGCCGTGGATGGCGCCCAGCACATGGCACACGCCCTGCCGCCATGCCGTCAAGCCACGCAGCCATGCACGCGTGACAGCAAGTGCACAGAGAAAAACGGATAAGTGAGGGTGGGGAAGGTCGTAGCGGTGGGAGTGCGTAGGGAGCATGCATGGGGCAATGGAGGGCGCGCACGAGTGGACGGTGAGAGCAGTGCGCACGGGGTCGCACAGCACTGTGACACCAGGAATGCACGGCACTGTGACACCAGGAATGCATGGCACCGTGACACCAGGAATGCACGGCACCGTGACACCAGGAATGCACGGCACCGTGACACCAGGAGTGCACGGCACCGTGACACCAGGAGTGCACGGCACCGTGACACCGGGAGTCACGGCACCGTGACACCAGGAGTGCATGGCAGTGTGACACCAGGAGTGCACGGCAGTGTGACACCAGGAGTGCACGGCAGTGTGACACCAGGAGTGCAGGGCACCTGGAAGGGCAGGTGGTGCAGGGCGAGCAGCAGCGAGCGCAGGAAGAGGCCGAGCGCACTGCCAGCGGCCACCGGCACGCCTGCCTGCTGGGACGAGGGGCCGCTGCTGCCACCCACACACGCTGCATGGCACATGCAGGGGGCATGCGGAGGGGGAGAGGAAAAAAGGGGGCTGGGAAAGGGGGAGGTGACAGAGGTGCGTGCACCTGAGTGGGAGAAGCATGGGTGATACCTGCTCACTGGTATGGGTGATACCTTCTCCCTGGTATGGGTGGTACCTGCTCACTGGTATGGTATGGGTGGTACCTGCTCACTGGTATGGGTGATACCTGCTCCCTGGTATGGGTGGTACCTGCTCCCTGGTATGGGTGGTACCTGCTCACTGGTATGGGTGATACCTGCTCACTGGTATGGGTCTGCTCCCTGGTATATGGGTGGTACCTGCTCACTGGTATGGGTGATACCTGCTCACTGGTATGGGTGATACCTGCTCACTGGTATGGGTGATACCTGCTCACTGGTATGGGTGATACCTGCTCACTGGTATGGGTGATACCTGCTCCCTGGTATGGGTGATACCTGCTCACTGGTATGAGTGATACCTGCTCGATGGTGGACGGTGCATGGGGGACGAATGGATTGCCTGAGAAGACCGCCAGTGCTCACAGGCGTGAGTTCCTGCACCAACCCGCACACCTGACACACACGCCTGCCATGCACGCATACAGTGGTCGCACCTCATCACTTCCACCACTCACAGCGCAGGGAGGCGGCGAGGGAGAAGAGGTCATCGGGCGACTGCAGCGCCTGCAGCTGCCGCACCAGCTGCCGCCCCACCCCCCCGCTCGCCCCCTCGCCCTCGCCTTTCCCCTCCTCCGCACCCCCCTCTCCCGCCGCCACGTCAGCCGCCAATCGCAGCAGCAGCGCGCTCAGAGGGGGCTCGTGCCACGAGTGTGCTGCCTGGGGTGGGGGAGGGGAGGAGATGGGACGGGATGTGAGGGCGCGTAGGGGCGTACTGAGGGCGGCTCATTTCAAGGGGCGATGCGGGGAGGAGAGGGGAGGGGGAGCAGGGATCTTGACATGGCGGCGAGGCACGGCTCTCCCCACACCCTGGCCGGCGCCATGCTTCTCCCTCCCTGGCTGCTCGTCGTTCCACCCTCTCCCGCCCTCGCCTTCCTCCTCGCCCACCTCGCCCAGCCGCGCACCACCTCACCATTCCACCCGCCGCTCGTCCCCTTCCCTCCCTCCGCTCCGCCTCTCTCCCCACTCACTTTCCTTCCACCCCATCCCCCCATCCCCCCATCCTCCCATTCCCCCATCCTCCCATTCCCCCCCCCACCGCTGTCACTGCTGCGCCCATCCGCCTTCAACCCCCCAACCAGCGCTCCCCCAGCGGCGCACCTTGGCCTCGCGCAGCAGGAAGAGCGCCAGTCGCTGCCGCACGCGGCGGGGCAGCGGGGCCTGCGCGCGAGCATCGTGCGCGTGGGGATGGTCGGGCAGCGCGGGCACGGCGGGGGGCGGCGGGCCCGCGAGGAGGCGCAGCAGCAGCGCGAGGGCCACCCGGTGCGGCGTCACGCTCGCGACGGCCGTGGCGGCGGCGGGCGAGGCGGGGCGAGGAGGGGCGGCGGGCGGCATGGCGACGCGGTGAGCTGCGAGTGCGATCGGTGTCGCGAGCAGCGGTGGGTGGGTGCGGCGGCGATCTGCGGAGGACGCGGTGCTACGCGCGGAAATGGGTGGAATGCGAGGCGATCCCCGGGCTGAAATGCACAAGCTGGTCGCAAAACATTCCCTCTAGTCGTGCTGCTTATAAGAGGGTGTCCGAAGTAGCATAGATGGGACGTCACAGATGTTGAAAGAGGGTTACCACCACTGTACACGCTACAGTCCGATTTCCGGGGTGGCCGAAGTAGGGCTGCCAAAACCCAGTAGTCGAACTTGACATCACACTGTGTTGTTTCAACAACTTAGAGGGCAGCCTAAAAATTATGCCACAGAACCCGTAGGACACCCACCGAACCAACGAAAACGAATCCGCGAATCTCCTGCTGGTCGTTGGGAGGGGATAGGACGATATTTTTGTGACGTGGTAACTTTCAGTATGCTGGTGGTTCCCAATTTTTTCGCTTGCCCGGTCGAAAACTTTCTACGTATTTCATTTTGGGCAGACTTGTGCGAGTGAGCTTGTCCGAAGTTGGGATTCGCGTCTGGTTTGACGCCCACATTTGACGTCGAGCCTTTCGGGAAGTTGACGTCAGCTAAGCGTAGCTGGCGTCAACTCTCTACTTCGGACACGCTCTAATTCATGGAGGTGCCACAGGACGTGGTACATTCCAGCAGTGGAATGCTGCAGGAACTGGGGATGGTCAACAAGACACACGCGAATCCACACTTCGTGCCGAGCAGCCCACACAGAATCAAATTTCGTGGAGGTGTAATTGATCAACATATAGTACCGTACTGAATGGAATATATCTCACAGTCTCCGATAAGACCCCTTTTCATGTAACAAGCCCAAGGAGATTCAAGCATGTGCTTTCCGGGGAAACATGCTACTAATTGTTTGTCAGGTGGAGAAAACACAATCACGGAATCCTGACCTCGCTCGGGTGACTGACTCACAACAGGCATACTGATACACTAGAATCTTTGACACAGCACAAAATAATATCAGAATAATTGAATAATGGTAAAGTGAGAGTACACACAAATATATCTAAGTTTTGTATCCTCTAAGAGGTGACTCTATACAGTCTATACAAACATGACAAATACACATGTTTGACACACCCCCTAGACTGCATAGGGGAATACCCTAAACAAGCAGCTCAGGGCGGCACTACTAGTCCAACCTCTGAGACAAGGGTCTGAGCGACCGGTCAGAAGGAGTACAGACAAGGCAAGCACAAGAGCAGGGCGGCACTACTAGTCCAGCCACTGGGAGAGGACACAAGTCCAGTCTGAGTATACATATAAAGGACAGTACAAAGTCAAGGTCCTAGCAAGTGAGAGGCTACAGGAACTAGACCAAGCTGTACACAGTGCCGCTGATGATCTTTAGGCGCAAGCGCCTTCGTAAAGATATCAGCCGTGTTGGCACCTGAGGCCAAGTGTACTACGCGAGCCTGACGTCGCTGCTGTAGCTCACGCAGGAGGAAGTACCGCAGCTGAATGTGCTTCGCTCTGCCCTCGAGTCGAGACTCCTGACACAGGAGGATCATGGCCCTGTTGTCAGCGAACAGGACCGGGGCAGAGCTAGGCCGCTCACCTAAGTCAGTGAGCAAGAAGGTCAGCCAGCGGAGCTCCTGTGCCGCCATGGCACCGGCGTAGATCTCAGCCTCACAGCTGGACTGTGCAACAGACGAGGAGCGAGTAGCTCTCCACGAGACGGCACCTGAGCCAAGGCTGAAGCAGTAGCCCTGGGTAGACCCGGAGTGTCTCAGCGTCGTCTGCCCACGAAGCGTCTGTGTGCCCAGTAAGGACCGCTGGCCTGCGTCCTCCTAGCACTAACCCCATGCCCGATGTACTAGCAAGATAACGCAGAACCCTCTTAGCGGCAGACCAGTGCTGCGGTCGGTGTCTGCCTGTGGCCACAAAGCGAGCCAGGATGCTGAGAGGGTATGCGAGATCTGGGCGAGTGCAAGTCATCAGGTACATGAGGCAACCCACCAGCTCTGCGTAGGGGCCGCTGGGCTCTACCAACTCCTCAGGCACTGGAGCGGAGAGCCTGTGGTCTACAGGCAGAGGGGTGGGCTGTGCAGAGGAGAACTGAAGGCTGAACCTCTGAAGGACCTGGCGCACCAAGTGTGGACTGAGTCAGGGTGATGGTGCGCGCAGCTCTGTCCCCTGGAGATCTGCAAGCCAAGGTAACGGCGCAGTTCTCCAAGGTCAGTGCAGGTGTGTCTCTTCAGCAGCTCTGCCTTCACGGAGGCCAGCGCGTCCCTGTCTGCTGTGGCAAAGACCAGGTCGTCGACGTAAACGAGGATGTAGAACGGAGTCTGGCCAGCACGAACGAAGAGTGAAGGGTCTGCAGAAGACGGAAAGAACTGCAGGTCAGCAAGCGTAGCACGCAGAGTGTCGTGCCACTCACGGGGAGCCTGGCGCAGGCCGTAGACGGGGCGCCGCAGGAGCCACTGGGTCCCAGGAGGGAAGGTGCCAGTAAAGCCCGGAGGGCGGCGCAGGTAGGACCTGCTCGTGTAGGCTGCCCTGAAGGAAGGCAGTGGAGAAGTCGAGGGAGTGAAGCTCGTAGTCACGCTGAGCAGCTAGGTATAACAGAACCCGAAGAGTAGTCATCTTCGGGGTCGGAGCGAAAGTCTGGAAGAAGTCCACCCCCTCGCGCTGACTGAAGCCTCTAGCCACATAGCGCGCCTTGAAGACAGGCGGCTCTCCAGGAGGGCGCTTCACCTTGAAGAGCCAGCGCCATCGACTACGTTCACCCCAGGTGGGGGAACTGCGTCGACGAAGGTGCCGGTGGATCTCCAAGATGCCATCTCCTGCTCCATGGCAGCTATCCACTGCGAGGCCCAGGGTCCCGAAGTCGCCTCAGCGTAAGTGCGAGGGGTCGGGATGTCGAAAGCGTCTGGGTCACCCTCAGGGACTAGCAGCATGGAACAGAGATGGGGAGCAGCCTCGAGAGGAAAGCAAGCTCGAACTGGCGGTCCTCCAGGACGTCCACTGCCAAGGGCAGGAGCACCCCCGATAGACGGAGGACAGGCATCCTCTTTGCCTGGTTCCGATCGAATTGGAGGTTGTGTTAATGTGAATGAATAATGAACACAAGCGGAACAAGGGAGATATATGTGTCTTGATTGTACCCTCTAACAACATACAATTATCTAGCCTATAAGTTATACATAGCAACATATGTATCAGTTGACACAACCCCTAGGCTAGAAAAGGGGTAGTGCAAAGCAAGAAATACACAGCTCAGGGTAGTAATACTAGTCCAACCTCTGAGGCAGGGGTCCAAAGACCAGTTAGCAAGAGTACAAACAAGACAAACCTGGGTGGCACTACTAGTCCGACCACAACGCCAGCCTAGAAGGCATAAATATAGAGGAGTACACAATCAAGGTCCTAGCAACTGAGAGTCTACAGGAACTAGACCTAGCTGCAAGCAGTGCCGCTAATGATCTTTAGGCGCAAGCGCCTTAGTAAAGATATCAGCTCTCTTGGCATCGGAGGCCAAGTGTACTAAGCGGGCTTGGCGACGCTGCTGTAGCTCGCGCAGGAGGAAGTACCGCAGCTGGATGTGCTTGGCTCTGCCCTCAAGTCGGGGTTCCTGACACAGGAGGATCATGGCCCTATTACCAGTGTACAGGACCGAGACAGAGCTAGGCCGCTCACCTAAGTCGGCGAGCAAGAAGGTCAGCCAGCGGAGCTCCTCTGCCGTCATGGCACCAGCGTAGATCTCAGCCTCACGGCTAGACTGAGCAACAGACGGTGCGCACCAAGTGTGACTGTGTAAGAGTGAAGGTGCGTGTTGCTCTGTCCTTGGAGATCTGCAGGCAAAGGTAGCGGCGCAGCTCTCCTAGGTCGGTGTAGGTGTGTCTCCTCAGCAGCTTAGCCTTCATGGAGGTCAGTGCGTCTCTGTCTGTAGTGGCGAAGACCAGGTCGTCTACGTAGACAAGAATGTAGAACGGAGCCTGGCCAGCATGAACGAAGAGCGAAGGGTTTGCAGTGGATGAAAAGAACTGCAGGTCAGCTAGCGTAGCACGCAACGTGTCGTGCCACTTACAGGGCGCCTGTCGCAGGCCGTAGACCGGGTGCCAGAGGAGCCACTGGGTCCCTGGAGGGAAGGTACCGGTGAAGCCCTAAGGGCAGCGCAGGTAGACCTGCTCGTGTAGGCTGCCCTGAAGGAAAGCTGTGGAGAAGTCGAGGGAGTGGAGCTCGTAGTCACGCTGTGCTGCTACGTGTAGCAGCGCCCGAAGAGTAGTCATCTTCGGGGTCGGTGCGAAGGTCTGAAAGAAGTCCACCCCTCTCGCTGACTGGAGTCTCTAGCCACGTAGCGCACCTAACACAGACGGCTCTCTAAGGGGGCGCTTCACCTTGAAGAGCCACAGGCCATCGACTACGTTCACCCCAGGTGGGGGAACTGCGTCAACGTAGGTGCTGGTGGATGTCCAAGATGCCATCTCCTGCTCCATGGCAGCTTTCCACTGAGAGGCCCAGGGTCCCGAGGTGAAGACAGGAAAGCAAGCTCGTACTGCCTGTCCTCTATGACGTCACTGCCAACAGCATGAGCACCCTTGACGGACAGAGGACGAGCAGGGTCAGAGACCAGAGTGGTGGCATAGTCAAGGCGGCGGGTAGAGGCGAAGGCAGCGACAGCAGAGACAAGATCGTCAAGACGCGAGAGAGGAACAGACAGGTCGATAACAAGGGAGGCAAGGACCCGAGGAACAAGAGGATGAGTAGCACGAAGGTAGTCAGACAGAGGGGGAGGCACGATAGCGAGCGACGACGGAGGAGGCGAAGGTAGGAGGGGAGGACGAGACGCGTGGAAACGAAGCAACATACAGTAGGGTGAGAACGCCGAACAGGGGAGACATGACGAGCACGAGAAGGACGACGAGACCAGACGTCAGACAAAGGCGTCGGGTCAGGAGACAGAGGAGGACTATCAGGAGGGGAGCGAGCTGGTGACGACTCCGGTGCAGGAAACAAAGGACCGTGGACAGGAAGGGGAGTAGGCGGAGAGGGAAGCACACGTGAGTGGTCAGGGGAGGAAAGGCCGAGCAGGCAAAGGGCGAACACCGGCGGCGACTGCT